ATACAGTATTGTATCATGTAAAATTCCACCACATTGCAGGGAAGTTACAATTTTAAGGAATAGTCTGCCACTATGAATTTAGAAGTGATATTCTTGCAGATGTCCTCAACATTCTTTATTAAGCAAAAGCCATTATTTTTTCAGCATGTTTTAATAATTGGCAATTATCTTATGGCCTGAATTTTCAAGTTTATTCACACGAAGGGACAATTGCACCTAAAGACATATATGTTAAAACAATATTTTCCTTCTCATAATGCCCTCTTTTTTGCTGTGTTTTATATGCCATGAAGTGACACGTATGCTGTTACAGTATTTAATTTTTAACCAATATGTGCATTAGTAATGTTCAATACTGCTATAAAACAATGCTTTAGTGGGACCCATTAAAACACAATGCCAGAATTTCACAAGATTGTTCTTCCCTCAAATGTTCAGTGGAGGCAGAACTTCCTGTTTTTTTCATGAATGTGAACATTAATCATTAGCTTTTTCAGTTCTTCCTTTCCATATGAGGATCCTTCATTGCTCTCCTGCAGTTTAGATCTCTCCTGGTAAATTGTTAGGACAATTTATTCCAGTCATCTCTAGTTTTATGTATTAATCAAACATTCTATACAGAAGTAATATAAAATACCCTCTATATAAAGTCACTGTTATTAAAACATCTTACAGCCGAGCATCAAACCCAAATATAACATTACAGGAATATTTATCAAATTTCTATACCACCCATCATACTTGCATGCTTCTGGGTAGTTTACAAAAGTGACGATGAAACTTCTTAATCTCAAGAATGCGTTATTAATGGTCCAAAATTGCCCAAAAAGCCATGCTGATGAAGTGGAAGTGTCTATCATCTTTATGTATAAACAACTGTACTGGTTGCCAGTTGCTTTCTAAGCCCAGTTCAAGGTGTCCATTTGGGTGTACAAAACATCGCAAAGGTTAGGTCCAAATTACCAGCAAGATCAACTAACCCTGTACAGTTTTCCCTGTGCTATCAAGAAAACATATCTTTTGCAGATTCCACAACCAACATGTCTAATACCAATTTTCATTTGTTTTCCTAATGGAGGTTCTTTATTGTGAAACAAATTGCTACTGGAATTCAAGTGAGTCCCTTCCAATTAAAGTATAATCCCTACCAGAAGCAATCTTTACCTTATCTATTTCTTGTATCTTTCAAGATTTATATATAATCTAAGCCATTCTGGAATATCTCTATTTCCATTTCTCCTTATCTCAAAATGTCATTAACCTTGAATAAGATGTTCACAGCACATATTGACAATTCTGAATATAACACCAGATTTTTTTTTAAAGTAATCAGGATTGAATTCAAGTAGTTGTTGACATTCTATCTATTCTCCCAGCCTTACCCAAAAGACATTCTTGGGACGTCTTCTAAAACAATCCTTCACTCTTCAAGGACATAAATTCAAGGTCAGATATTGGAAAGTACCCATTAGCATCAAACTTCTATACTCACAATCAAGACGATAAAATGCAGTCACTTTCCATGTGTGTCAAAAACTTACCAAAATTAACAAGGTTATTTGAAGGAAACTAGAGAAGCCATTGCTCAACTATATGAATTTTCAGAATTAACCAGCATGATGTTGTACGACAGGCACAGAACAGTCTAGTGTTGCACTATTTTCTTCTCAATCTATTCTCATCAACAGATACTAGTTTCAAGAAGAGTATAAATTTTGTGACAATGCAGTAAAAAACAATTTTACTTAAGGAGTCCCATAACATTAAAAAAAACTCTCAATTTTGTGCACATTTGGGAATAAACTCTTAAATCACTTCTGAATCACAAGCTTTACTGCTGTGCAAATATAACCAAAATTACACGACACATATATTGAAGTAACCATTATACCTTTTATTCAGAAGCCAATCCCAGTGGATGAAACCCAAAAGAGACTTAGAACTACTTTGCTCATTTCCAAATGGAATAAAATACAATATTTCTTGTCCTTTTGCAGAATTTGCAACGGAAAGTCCCAAAACATGTTTTTCAAAAAGCAACTGGACTTTCTGGGCTTTTTTCTTTGAAAACATTTCACTTCTCATCCAAGAAGCTCCTTGGTTCTGATTGAATGGTGGGGAAATAGATGGATTTATATTCCTTGCAGTCAGTCCTCTCTGGTCATTATCACTCTGAAGGTCGGTCCTTCTCTTTCAAGGCAAAACCAAGAAGGTCCGGTTGCCTTTTGAAAAGCACCTTTGGGACAACCAGAACCTGGGTGACTGAGAATCTCCGCAGACATTTGCAACGGAAGATTTCTCTTTCTCTCCTCAAATCACAGACGGATCTGGATACAGCCAGGCTCCCAAACGATGCCCCTTCCCGGCGGGGATCCCTGTGCAGTAGCAACTGCGCTTGGCTAACGGGCACCCTCCGCTGACTCTCCGCTCCTCCTTGCCTGCCATCCAAGCTGGAGCAGCTCTCCAGCGTCCCGTCAGCCGAGCCCAACCGGCTCGAAGCGGGGCGCCTGACTTAAGAAGCCCATTCACCGGTTACGACCACCGCCCGCGGCTGCGGTGCTAAAGAACCGCAGGAGAAGAAAAGTCTCCTCCCGGGACCCAACCCCGCCGTACCTGCTTCTGAACATCGGCATCGCTCAGCGCCATGTTGAACGCGGGTTAGAGAAGCGAAGGCTCGGGGGGACAAAAGGAGAAGCGTCCGCTCGAACTGGCACTCCCGCAGGCTGAAGGGATTGAAGGGCCCCAATCAGATCCGGTTTAGGTCACTCTCAGGAGATGCTGCCGCTGCTGCGGCTGCGGCTGCTGACATTTACGTCACCCGGCCCCGCCCCTTGTTTGCTCGCGTTACACCAATGGGAGAGCTCGGTGACGTCATCAACGCGGAAGGGGCCGTCTTTCACTTGGGGACTTCGGGATTGAATAGAATAGAACACCTTTATTGTCATTGCATTCAAAATACAATGAAATTTGAAAGCTACTCCAGCACAGTGCCCCAAACACCACATCACAATCACACTACACAGTATTTAAAAAGTAAAATAATTAAAGTAATAATAATAATTAAAAACCTAGTCTAAAACCTATTTAAAACATACATTAACTTAGTTTAAAAATGTCACTTTATAGAACTAAATCACAAATGTACTGTTTGATTCAAGACAATTATTGCCTTGGAAAAGAAACTTTCTCAGACTGAAATAAGGAAGAGTGGTGCGCTTGACGTATAGATGAGGAATTTCTGATTCATGTCAGATAGCTATATTAGGGAAAGCAATGGAATCCGGTTGTCCAAAAGTTCCTCGTTCCCCTCATTTATTTATTTTAAAGATTGAATTGGGCTACAGTAGTGCAAGTTGATTGGCAAAACTGTTGCTAATTCAGCCCAACAAATAGGCTGAAAAATAGCTTTTATCCCTAGGCTGTCAGACTTCTGAACTCAACATAAACACCACAATTAGGTATAATGTGATAGACTTGCAGGGCCAGCACCAAGGGAGGCTCATTTCAATTTCATTGTACACATGTTGTGCATTGGCAATAAACATATGATTTGATTTGATTTGTGAGTTCCCAAGATCTCCCCAACATAACATAATTAAGAACAAAAAGGGAAATTGTACGTTGCTTGAGGTATGGAGTCTTCTAAAAACTTTTAAAAAATATAAAATCCATTAAAATTAGCCCTTGTAAAATACGTAGATTTGTTAGTTCTGGTAGGAGGAAAGTAGAAGAAAACCATCTGTTGCTTTTTAATGCCTGAATAACAGGAAGGCAGTTGGAGGTCATGCAGCAGGAATACTATGTAAGTTTGAGCCCGTATCTGGAGTCAGTCATGGCCCAGATGGGATGAAATACACTGAATCGCTCCAAGCCCTGGTTGTCTTTTGTAAATACACAGGCGGAGCTTCAACCCTAGGTTCCTCTGAATGGGGTAGTGGTGTGATCTTGGAGGTCTTCCCAGATAGCGCTTAAGCTGCACATTTAGATTGCTGTCATAAGTGGCTTTCGGGTATTGGCTGGTGTACCACTTACAACCCAATTTGAACCAGGTCCAAGGTGTTCCTGGATTGGATTGCTTAGTATGCTTTAAATGTGATTGCACCGACTGCAATCTTTGGGGATAGTCAGGAAATGGCAGATTCCCCAAACTGTGGAGCATTGAAGAGACAATGACATCTAAGACGGGTCTCCACCCTTGGCAACTTTAAGACTTGTGGACTTCAACAGCTATGCTGGCTGGAGAATTCTGGGCATTGAAGTCCACAAATCTTAAAAGTTGTCAAGGGTGGAGACCCCTGATCTAGGAGATCATAGGTCAGAAGATAACTTGGGGACTCAGGGGTCTTGTTTCTGTAGGTTTGAGAGTAGCCCTTTCATTCCAAATACTTGAAAAATTTACCAGTGTTTCTCAAGTTTGGCAACTTTAAGATATGTAGATTTCAACCATGGTGCTTGGAGAATTCTGGGATTTGAAGTCCAAACATCTTAATATTGGTAAGTTTAAGAAACTCTGGTTTACAACAATTGTGATTATAACCAGGAGGGGTGGGGAGGTGTTGTGTATTAATTGCATATAGTTTCTTTTAGCTTCTGTACTGCGTTTGCACCTTGTTGTCCACGGCAAAAGGTAGGGATAGGTTACAAAAACTGTCAAACAAGCAAACAAATCGTTCAAGTATGAAGCCGGCCTGCTGAGACTATTGGAAAAAAAAAACACCATCCAAACTAACTACCGCACCCTACAACTCTACATTTCTTATCTCTATGTCCGAGCCTTTCACCACGTCGATCACAAAAAGGCTCGCGCTCAGCCGCGATTGCGGCGTGAATCTGCTTAGTCACCTCCTCCGCTACACTGCGGGTGACGTCACACGCCCACGTGCGCGCCCGCCGCCTTCAAAAACCCTTCTTTTGCCCTCGTCCGGCATGGCGGCTGCTTTTCTGGAGGAGTGACGAGGGGGGGGGAAGGGAAGGATGTTGCTGCGCGCGCAGCACCGACAGGCGCCAAGGGTCACTTTCGAGGGAGCGTCGCGCGCCCTCCCCTCGCTTTGACCTCTGCCTCTTTTTTTTTTTTTTTGGTTTAAATTGGTCTCGTCCTCGCGAGACTCAGGTAAGAAGGCGAACGGTCAGGAAAGCCTCATCCTCTCCCCCACCCCCCACGTTCACTTCCCAGAAGGGGAGTGGAAGGAAAAGCAGCCTCAGGGTTCGTTCGCGCGTGGTTCCTCTTTGGTTTGCGTGCCGTCCCGAGGGTGCTGAGCGGTTAGTTGTGCGCTCAGGGGGCGACTGATCCGGGAGTGGCGGGAGTAATGGGAGGTCGGAGCCCTGATACGTGGGTGCGTTGGAGAGGGGTACTCCCTTATCACCGTTTCCCCCTTTCTCTCCCCCCCCCCCACTTTTCCCGGTTTCCCCCTCCCCACTTTTACTCGGGTCGCCCCATGAGGGCCGCTGTGGGGCCACCCCTCCCAGTTACCAGACGCTTCCCTTCATCTCTTGTGTGCCCCAGACTCCTCAGCTGGGGAGCATGGGTTTTTAGTAGACACGGTTCTGTGCTGAGGGTGGGAGCATCGTTTGGTCTCAGCAGGTGGAACTTGGCCTGGCATGGTGCCTTCAGTGGGCCTCGGTGGGAAGGGCGGGGCTCATTCCATTCCTCTTGCCCTCCCCCCCAAGATTTCTGTGAGCTGCAGCCTTTTGGGAGACTGTGGAGGGGCCCCCGAGTGTCTTTTTCCACTTAAAGGGAAGAAATGGAATGGGAAAAGGGGTACGTGGTCTATGATCCGGTTACGGGGGTGATAGGGTCCACTTTGTCGGCTGATAGGACATCTGATTTACAGATTAATAGAGTTGGAAGGGACCTTTGAAGGTCATCTAGTCCAACCCCTGCCAAAGCAGGAGGCCCTACATTTGTTCTTGTTTTGCCGGCCATAAGGATTAAAAATAATGTGGCCTAAAAGTTTTTGTCTGGGAGAAACAATCAGTTGATGAAATAGCCTTGTGCTTATGCTGGGAGTACAGTACATACCTTTACAGAGGTAACTGTTAACCATTAATCAAGGCCTCCTGGTAGACCAGACCAAGAAACCACAAGAAGGAGGGAAAAAAATGTTATTGGCCATAATAACAGAACTTTTCAAGTCTGATTTTGCTAGTTCCTCCTCTTCCTCCCTCCTCCCTTTTGCCTAAATAACAGTTCTTTCATGTTTCCATAAAAGTAATCTTCCTTACTCTCTGTAATAACTCTAACTCATTTGGTAGGAAGAGAAGAAAAAGCACAAGACATTCAAAATAATTGACCATAATCCGTTGGGATACAGAACTCTCTTGCGGGCAATACAATTTGCATGGGCAGAAAAGGAACAAAAACCAATAGTGACTTGATAACTGAACGTGGGTATAAAGTTTTGAATGGAATAGAGGCTGAGGTCGTCTGCTTAGCCTAAATAAAAATGATGTCTATAGAACAGTAAGGCCACCTATCTGGAGAAGAAGTGAGTAAAAAGAGGTGTTGTAGGAAATAACTTCAAATATTTGCTTTCTTATAAACGGAATGTTTTTGTGTGATTGGCCAGTTCCCCTGTTGTAGTCATTTTGTAACATCCCAAAATTTGTTCCAATTGTAACAAATCGTTTTACAATCATTGTAAAACATGTAACAGATTTCTCATCTCAAAGTATTTGATAGATTTAAATTGATCCTTAAGACATTAAAGAGGTGTTTTGCCTACCTCATTTTTTCATAATGTTAATTAGCTTTATATAGTCATATAGTAATAGGAAAATTATATACACTATTAAACTGAGAACAAGCAGATAAGTATTTTTTTCACTTACAGTAATTGAGTGAAATCATGAAATAATTATGTGTCTGTGCATGTACGTGTATGCATGCCTTCGAGTCAGTATTGACACCTTGCAACTGACTGGACTAGTTCATGCAGTTTTGTTAGCAAGATTTCACAAACAGTTTGCCATTGACTGCTTTCTAGGGCTGAAAGAGAGTGATTGGCTCAAGGTCAAGCAGCTGACTTCATGTTAAGGCAAGGCTAGAACCCACAGTTATGTGTGGAGGATAAGCTACACAATTCCAGAAAAAAGATAACTGCTTTAAGGGTTAGAAGAGAAAGCAGGCTTATTAGAATGATAAAAACTGCAAACTTATTACTGACTGGCTTCCTACAGAAAAATAGCTGATCAATTTATTTGCATATTTTATAGTATAAATTTCAGTAGAAACATCTGCACCTAAAGACTGCTGCTGTAAAATAGTAAGTGCTAGAATGACAAACATGGCCAATTGGATTCATCTTTACAAAATTTCAAAATAACTTGAATAATAGCTGATTGTTATTGGAATATATTAAGCTGTTCATTTGTTTAATTAGACATTTAAAATATAGTTCACAAAACATCTGTTTTTTAAATGTATTTTGGCAGGCAATTCTTGGGCTGATTGCAATTTATCAGTTGTACAGACTGTCTAAACCAGCATTTCCAGACAGCTAATGGCTGTAAAGGGCTTTCTCAAGCCCTGACCAGACAGCTGACTTTCCTGCTTTCCTATTCAGTTCCTCCAATTGTTGATCAACTATTCAACAGGCTGTGGGAAACACTCAGATACAGTTGTGCCCTCTGTGCCCCATCAGGGGAAAAAAAGAATGGGTCAGGGGCAAACACCCAAAACCTGAAGAGTGCAGGATGCAGATGTGAACAGACAAGTCCAAAATGACCAATAGGTTGAACTCACTCTGCTCCTTATAGGTCATGTAACTGTCTGTGGCAAAGCAAGGCAGCTTGTGCACATCTGCAAATTGTCATCAGTTGCTGTTAGGAAAACTCTTAACACCAATACTTGTTACCACAATATAAGGTTGCTTACCAAGGTTGAGGATAAGAGGAAGAGAGAAATATGGCAAAATAAAGCACAGTGGGAATTGTTTGTACAGTATTGAAAGGCAAGTGGGCAAAGACCTTTAATCATCTACAAGGACCCTAATACAATCTATTACAATTTATGTAATGAAGTATTATTTTAGAGGCTGGTATAGGTGCAAGTCACCAAATTAGGAAACCCATTAGTATTTTTTGCCAAGAACCATTTCAGATCTCAAGTTGCTTATTAATTTTCAAGAAGGCTATTAAACTTGAATGCACATTTTTCCAGTCCTATGTTTCATGTTATTGCAGTTAAAAAAACCCACAGGAAGAAAGTGTAAATATTAGAAATAGTAAATATGAAAAAGTTACTTTCATACTATTTATATGTTGTTTTTCCTGTTTATCTATTTCTAAACAAATCTCTGATGGAATTTCTTGTTATGTTATTCAGGCAAGAAGCTTAGTAAAGCTGTGTCAATCTGTAGAGGATTTTATAGTAGAATAGAGTTCAAAGGAGCTGTTTACACTATCACATTCCATGCAGGAATCCAAATTAAAATATCCATGACTAGTAGCTGTCTGGCCCCTGATTGAACATATATAATGAAGGGATGTTTCAGCTCTCTGGGCAATTGTTTCATCCTAAACATTCTCTCCTTTTTTCATTTATTGCCCTCCTCTAAACTATTCCAGGTAGTTCAGAGTTATTAGAATAATGTCTGACCAGTGCAAAATAAAATACTTCTTTTAATATAATCTAACATTGCATTTGCTTTTTCTAAACCATTGTCACATCTATGAGTCATATTTAGTTTGCAGTCTCTTACTGCTATTCCAAGATCTTTTTTCACAAGTCCTGTTAGCAAGTCAGGTGATCCTAAAATACATGTAATGATAAATTTGACAACTTGCTATAAAGTTTATATAACTTTTTTCCTTATATATTTATGTTGATATGTGAATATGCAGTACAATAATAAATGTGTGCTGACATAATTGTAAATAATCAGGATATGGTTGCAAATTTCAAAAATTAAATGTGTGTTTTTCTTTATTTAGATTTTAAACAAAGAAAATATTACGTGGGCCATAATCCTACGGAACTTTGGAAGCCAACTCGATGGCATCCTCTACTGCTGTACCTGTAGGTTTTCATTATGAAACAAAATATGTTGTCCTCAGTTATTTGGGTCTCTTGTCACAGGAAAAGCCTCAGGAACAGCCATCTCTGTCTATTGAAGGTAAGGTACTCAGTTGCAGTTAAATATGTAATAAATGGAATTTAAAAATATTTTAAAAATGTAAATTGTGAACACTGTTTTACTGAACGATAAGGTAATACACCAAAGCCTGGTGCTGAGAAAAAAGGTAGTTATTGATATATTTTTAACTTAAGTAGCATTGTGTACATTTGAAAGGGTTTTAAATTTACTTTTAATAAGTAATTTGTGCCCATTGGGACTGGTCATCAAAATAATTTTACTGATTCTAAATGTTAAGTATATGAGATGTGTAACTTATTAAATAGTTTGTGGTAATCATAAGAGTTAGTTTTATCTCTAGAGGAAAAAATACCTTTAATACATACTTCGTACATGTGAACCATCAAACAATTCTGGAACATTAACAGTTCACTTCTAGTTTTGTGGACAGTATTGTGCATGTGAATATTATTTTGGTACTGCCCTACAATAAGAGGAAATTTTATAATCCTTTGAAACAGGGCATGTTCTATATATTATTTTACCTGTATGGTGTTAAATCTTTACAGAATCATGGCAGCAGATAACAAAGCAAAATACAATTCCATGTTGTTGTAAAGAACAGAACGCCTCAGGTTCATAACCAGAAACAACAATTAATGCACAAAGAATAAGTAAATGAATGAATAAGCATCAAAATGCTGATGGCCATTCCTTGAAGATCCTGCAGAAAAGTTTGATCTTAGTAACTTATAGAAGCAACCACTGAGGAGGCAATCTGTGTTCTAGAGGAAAACTTTTCTACAGCACTGGTGCCATGATGGAAAAAGGGTACTTTGTGGTCTCAGTCTTCTCAATGACCTCTTAAAATGTTGCAGAAATTTGTAGTTATATAAGAGTGTGTGTTCTTCATAACCCACCCACCCCCCAAAATAGGCTTTTTGTGAAATGAGACACTGCCATGAGACACCAGTCTATGGCAGCCAGAAAGTTTTACTTGGATTAGTGAAACTTTCACTCTAATTTTCTAGAGGTGGGAAGATATTTTTCTTCTGCAAACAGCTTTTTGAATAAGAAGGAAAAAATAACAGAATAGTAGAATATTCTAGCTAAGAGAGTATACTATTTAAATAGTAAATGTAAATAAAACTATTAATATGTGCATTGTTCTTAGAATGTCCCTACGCTCAGTCACTCAAGTCCTCTTCATCTCTCAGTTGGATTATTGTAGCACATGGAGCTGCCCTTGAAGAGTATCTGGAAGCTTCAGCTGGTATAGAATGCAGCTGTGTAGGCACTTCTTAGTGCCCCTAGGATGGCCCATGTTACACTGCTGTTGTGAGCTGTATTGATTGCCAGTTTGCTTCCAGGTCCAATTCAAGGTGTTGGAAGCCCTTAATGGCAACACCTTGCCCTTTGTGGCATGAGTCCAGGTTATCTGAAAAACCAGCTCATCCTGCTGGGATTAGCCCGCCTCACCCAAGTTGGCAGAAAAGGCATACTGCAAGGCCCCATTGATCAAGGAACTTCAGCTGACAGAGTCCAGGAGAAGAGCCTTTTCTGCTGTGGCACCCGCTCTCTAGAACATCCTGCTCCCCCCCTCCTTGAGATGAGATCTGCACCCTTCCTTCTGGCCTTCCAAAAGGGTTTGAAGACCTGGTTCTGCTAGCTGACCTGGAGCCCCAATTGATGGGTGGTATCTTGGAGTTGGTTAATGGATTTAGCCAGACCCCATCTCTTGCCCAGGCACGCATTGCTCCCTTTGTTTCTATCTTGATTAACTGAATTTTAACTGAATGGTTCTTATTGTTTTAATTTTTATATGGTATTTTAATTGTAGGACTGTTAAACTGCCTAGGGTTGCCTTGGCAAGATGAATGGCATAAAAATTTAATAATAAATAAAAATTAAATAATATTCCAAGAAATTAAATATCAGCTTTGCAGATATTTATAGGTATAGACGTCACTTTAATTAGTCTTAATGTTCTTCCAGTTCCCATTATTATATATGTATTTACAGCACTATCCCACTAACGTGAATGTAAAAGGATTCAAAATAGGTGTAGTGTTCCTTATGATTAGTTTTCTTCAGTTTTCTTCAATGTATGATTAGTTTTCTTCAGTTATGCTTCACTGTTTGAAAAGTTTGCTTAAATTCTTCCATGCATTAAGTACACAATCTTAACTTTCTAAGTTTATGATAAAATAGAATACATTTGCTTTAGTGCAGATATGATTGATCATTGCTACTTATCCATGCACAGAACCATCTGCATTCTCACAAGCGGTAGAAAAAGAGATCTTGGAAAAAGTTAAAGCCGAAATTGAAGAAGAATTGAAACATCTTGATGAAGAAATTTTGGAAGGTCTGTACATATTGGTATACTTTTCTTCCTGTGTTAGTAATGTAATGAAAAGGTATTATTTTTTCCTTGTTCCCAGAGAAAATACTCTTAAAACAAACATCATTACCATGATTTGACCACTCATTTACCTTGTTAATCACAGCTTTTGAAATATTTGATATAAGGGTATAATCCAACAAGATTTAAATTACCTGTTCTGACAATTTTCATTGGCGGTTGAGCGGGCATGAATAAAAATAGAAATCCTGCATATTATTACTCTGTTTATTTTAGTATATGATGGGTTGCCTTTGATTTTTCTGTACTTCTATTGTATTCTTCCTGAGCTGTATTCTTACTAATATACACTTTAATGAATTTCTCTTTTTATAATATAATGTTTTCACTCATGATATAAATCCTTCATAAAAAAACTCTGCTGTTTATTTTCAGCTTTCACTACAACTGGCTTTGACTGCCACACGTCTCCAGTATTTAGTCCTGCAAACCCAGAGACTTCAATTGAAGACTGCTTAGCTCACCTTGGAGAGAAGGTATTCCAAGAATTGAAAGAACCCCTTGAAAAGGCATTAGAGATTCTACTTAGCAAGTGAGTTCTCATTTGCTTTGCTCAGCAGGAAGGTACTTGCTCTTAAAATTCTCACAATTTTGATAATGCTAATATGACTGAATTTTGCACAGCTTTTTGTTACCTTAACTGACTTGCTCTCAAAAGTATGTGCTTGTTGATTATTGCAGGAAACGAATAACACTTTTTCTATTATTTAAATCTGGAATTTTGATCCAACACAAAGAAAGCACATTTTTATATCTAGTGGCCAACAAAATGAAAGGTTATTTATTTAGCATATAGCATATTATACATGGACTAGCAATATAAATGTTTCAACTAGATTAGTACAACCCAGTAAAATATAAATGTTTAAAAGATCTATGTTCAAATATCAATGTCTAGGTCATCTAACCATTGAAGCACAGCATTGTTTATTAGATACTGGATGCTATATGATATCTTTGTATTTTAGGAACCACAAATGTTGCCAAACACATAGTGGGTATACATTTTTTATTAATATTGCTTCTCTATTTTCATAGTGGGAGCACTCCTGACATTTAATAAGATATCAAGTAGAAAATAATAGAACTTGCTGTAATGTAGATAGCAATATATGTTAATGTTAGGTAGAAAATTGATACCTTGCTCAGTAGCACCCACCCACAGTACCTGCCCATATCTCTCACCTGATGGTTTACTTGACTGGGACACAGTTTCAGTGCCTCTTCCTACATTGTAGTCACATGAAGTCCTTGCCTAACAATCCTTGCTTAATGACAACAAGGACTGCCAGGATTGCTGTCACTAAGTGATGCAGTCACATGACATCACAGTTTATGACCACATCAGTGATGGAAATTTCTGCCCCAATTGCTATTGTAATCTGAAGACTGTCTACTCCTTTGGTCTCTTTAGCTGCCAATTACCTGTAATACTCTCAATCTCCATAAATTAGAAAAAGAATTTCTGCAAAACATGCAGTTGGTCAGAAAAGCAGTTTCCACAGCTTAAAATGATATTCTGCAGTATTCCATTGGTAAAACAGCAATTATATTGTAATATAGGATTAAATATTTCATTTTTTATGCCAACTGGATGTTATAATTAAACATATAAAACTCCAGATAATCTGGAACACGCACTCACTGACACCGTAAACCTTGTTTATTTAATTAGGAGTGGACGTATTAAATATAATGCTATAAGTGATGTAGCATCTATCCAACCTTAGTTGATCTGAAAAAGCTAAGCAATGTCAGAGCCACTTAGTTATTAGAGGAGAACTTGGGAAGAAGGAACCAGACAGTGGGCTGGACTAGGAAGCTGGAAGAAGAAGGTAGTGTCAAACTACAAGTTGGGAGCCATAACACTTGGGTTTTGATTGTTGATTGTTATCTTTCCATATGAATGTGTGAAACTTAGTACAAGGAGGCAAAATATTTGAAGTTAACAAAAATACAATCAAGACATTCTTGTTTATTTTGAATGAGTTTAAATCCTTGGGGCAAAATGAATTGCATTCTGCGGCATGGAAGAAATGCTGTTGCTCTGGTTAAACATTTCTGTATTGTACAAAAAAATCAATGAATTGTGGGAAACTAGAGGTGGGAATTGTCCTTATCTTTATACAGGGGAGAATGTGATACTGATACTTGGGAAAATTCTAGAGGTTATCATGAAGTGGTCATTATGTGAGAACCTTTAAAATAAATGTGGTGGGCTAGTTAATATAGAAGTAATAAAATTAAGTTGCTTGCAGAATTATATCCATTTTTTCAACAAAAATGTAAATGATTGGAGAGCTTGAAATGGCTTGCTTCTATTATCAAACTGCATTAATATCTGTGATTTATCATACAAATCAGAAAATTTTGGCTTCTCTGAAGAAGGTAAATAAGCCAGCTTTTAAATACACAATTTGAACCTGATTTTTAATTAACTAGAATGTATTGTGGTTAAATAATGGATTTTAACTGTAGCTAATTTTAATCTAGATTACATAAGATACCATATATTAAAACAATTTTAATCTTCCATTTTTTCCCTGAGGAGTATAAAAAGACACTTGTGAACTATTCAACTTTTCTTAGGAAGTCATTGCACCCTGAATTCTGTATGAGAATGATGGGATGCAAATTAAAATATTTAAGTTTTTGACAAAGTCCGTTTATGAGTGGAGGGCAGTTGACACCTGCTCAAGACATGAATTGTGGCAAAATTTGGTTAACAAGGTGTTATGCTTTTGCTGTTTGCTTTTCAAAGTCTGAATATTTTTTATCAGTTTTGTGATTTAATGCTAATAGATTGAATCAACTTCTTGAAATTAGCTTTGCTCTTTTTGATTGTATTAATATAATTAGTTTAGTAGCATATAGATATAATGAAAATTGTTATATTTTTGCCTTTCTTTAGTTTCATTATCTTCACTTTTGGTTTTTCTTATTCAGGCCAGTGAATTATCAGGAATACAAAGAGAGGACGCAGGAAGCAGCAAGTCATGCTAGTGGATGGAGCAAGGTAATGACCAGCTCACTTTTAAAAAATTCCTTTCAGTGGATATTGAGTCCGTGCCAGTTGAATTACCTGAAATATAAAATACCCAGTTTCTTAATTCATAGTTAGATTCAGAATGAATGAATGGATGGATGGACAGACAGATTTATTTAACTTGGCTAGCTAGTGATGTCTGCAGCATTCATTCCTTTTCAGGAACGTCTTCTTTGAGACAACTCCGCTTAACTAGTAATTAGTTGACAAAAATAATTGTTGTTGAGTAAGTTCATTACATATTCAATATGATTTGTTTACAGTGCATATTAATTCATGTATATGAAGCTTGAAGACATTGGAGTAGGCGATATGAAGGATAAATAGAAATCAGTAATGCTAATTAAAAATTATGATCCAGAAAAGGTTCTGTTTGATTCCAGTAGGGTTTTTTTTTTTAAGACAAGGCTTTCAGTATACTGCCTTATCAACAAAGAAATACTAGCATTGCTTTCTGACCCAAAACTTGTAAGTTGGCTGTAGCTTTTATTTACACTTCATTGTATTAAGGGCAGAAAACAAAGGAAACAACTGTTGGGCAATATTTAATTTTCTTCACGAAATGACTAGAGAAGTCATTTAGATGTTTAGGTTAAAGTGTCAGTAATATTTTGATTAGATGTAGTTCTACTCTCCTTTCCATTTAGTAATCTTAAAAATGGGGGCTACTTTTAACTCCATAATTCTGCAAAACTGATAACAAGTGCTTGAAGGAAATTCTGAGATAATGTAAAAAACAAAAAAGCTTAATTTTGATAAGCAATGAATAAAGAAACTTATTATGAGATAAATTAGCCTTCTGGACAATAACATAATCAACCAGTATTCTATTGAGTATTCTAATATTCTTTCAGATGTGAACATGTTAAGGTATTGACTTCTTCCTCTTATAAATAATATATGTATATTTTTGATGAGCTTTTCTTCATATAAGTATACTGTGTATGCTTGCATGAATACTGTATGCCCACACACAAATGCATAACATACATAAGATGCTTTAAATGTAGAAAACCTTGTCATTATGCCACAATGTTACAGTCCCTGGTCCTTATTTCCTCTAGGTTTTAGTGCCCCTGGTGATACTTCAGAAGTTCTTGGTAGAGCTGTCCAAACGGGGCCAAGAGCCACTTGGTGCACTTCTGAATTTTGGAGTGATCTACCTGGAAGATTATGTTGCAGATTATATCATCCAGCAAGGTGGATGGGTAAGACAGATAATATTTGACTATATATTTCTTCTGAAATGACAGCTTCAAGTATGTTTATTTTAGTGAGACAATGGCTTTAACATTTAGCTGTCCCTAAAGCATATAGCTTTTCTTTTGAAAATAGCAGAGAATGATCAAAGATTTTGTTAAAACTGGCTTTAAAATTCTCACTAGTCTCTGCATGAGACAAAGCTTATTCCTAAATATTTTTTTTCCCTGTGGAGTTTAACTTAATCTAATCTTCAGGTTTTGGAAGAAGTATCAAACAGCAAGAAGCAATTTCATTGTATCCATTTATACTAAACTTTTGTGACTGTGATACATTCTATAAATTCTTTTTCATTTTTTATTTTCTGATGATGTTTTCTGGAGTTTTCTTCCCCTTTTTACATTTGATATTTATACTATTCTGAGTAGAAAATTCTTTGGCTTAATTGTATTTTCTTTTAAGCATCAAGATTTTCTTTCTCCAATTTTATGAACTATTAAATATTAGGAAATTACCCTTCTAAAATCTGGATATTTACTGTTCTGCAAGAAATCAGTTTCATTTAAAATGTTATTTAAAGTAATGTTGAATGTTTAATGAAGCCTGCTTGAAACATGCAGTTCATTTCCTTTTTCTCTTCTATTTTTGCAAAAGTTGTGAAGTGGCGCTGAGGGCACCCAGATTATTCCTTACTGGGAGGCAGAACAACACTAGATTTAAACAGAATTAATCTGGGATTAGTGAAATTATCTCCCAGTAGTTTTAAAACCCCTCTATATTTGATAATATAGATTGTCCTATTATGTAGGTTATGTTCTATTTGATTTGTTACACATTTCTTTCTCATTCTCTCCCCCCATTTTTTCTCTGCCTTGATATAACAAATAATTTAGAATTTCATTTTTTGAACTACACTTGAAGTATGAAGCAGGATTCATATATCCAGCTACAAGCTTAAGTTTTAAATTTAATGAAAATTAGTTTCCAGTTGTCTTTGGCAGGCAAATAAAACTTTGGGGTTGCTTGTATATTCATGCCATACTTAACAGTGGAATTATTAAGCAGCCAATATATTATTTTAGCAATCCTAATGTCTGCTAGTTTTTCCCACAAATTGTTGGAGAGATGCAGCTTCTAATTTAAACGCAGGGCACACACTATTTCCAACAGAAGCAAATCATGCTGTGGTTTGCAGTATAACTATTTTAGGTTCTCCAAAGGACCAGACCAGGGCCAAATCATACCAGAGAAAATCTGTATGGTCACCAAAATTTAGCATTAATCTAATTTACTAAATGCAGCATAAATCTACAATTAGATGATATACTTAATTGCTACTGGATTAGAAATGAATAATTAAAAGCTCTATTTCATCAGCTGTGGGTCACTTGTGAGACATTTTAGCCATCCAGGTAGTTCTTGACTTACAAATTATGTAACAACCATATCACTTAGTGAAGGGAGTCCTGGCTCTAATTGTGATTGTACGGACTATTTGTATGTGGTTAAATGATTAAGATGTGTGAATGTGTAATTATCCAGTTATATTTCTCATTCAATAATTCATTTTGATGGGGTTACATGTAGCTTTTATTCCTCAATATATTTGATGTATATTTATCTACATATGTACCAAACTACAGAGCTGTTCATGAAAATTTAGAGAATTCTATTTCTAAGAAATTAGGAATGTTTACTGTGGAACACTGTTTATAATTACTTTGGTTTTAATTATTTTAATTATTAAATCTCAGTGCGTAATCATTCACTCAAATACAAGGGTTGCTTAATGTCTTTATGAACTGGCTGTTTATACCGAGATGGATCGCTAACAAGTCAGAGAGACTCTCCAGAAGAGCTGTGGTCTCAAAAGTCTCATCTTGTAGTTAAAGATAATCCTTTACCAAAGGTGCTGGGTTGGTCTGCATCTGTACCAGCATGGATGGATGTAAGATAAAGAGCTAATAGAGCCACAGCATAAACAAGGCACACAGATGTTACTATCACTTGGGCTTTGAGCATCTGGATAACTTGACAAAGTTATGCTGGAAAGTAGTAAGCTGTTATCAGCTCCAAACACCCTTTTTTTTTGTTCTCATAAAACTGGATGCCTGGAAGAAATAAATTGCTTCACAGAATTTTTGAAATTATTAAAGCTTTTTGCATATAACTACTTTTGCCAAAACTCTTCTGTAAATTAGGACTTTAAACTAATTGTGCTGCTTAGAAACGCTGAAAGTGATGTTGGAGTAGAAAAGGGGAGCAAATCTTGTTTTAATTCAAGGACTAAGGTGGAGTCAATCCTTCTGAATTGACTATCATTACTAAACCTTTTGGACTTTCTGGATTATTTGTGAGACTTCGTGGCAGTGCTGATGTAGCAGTTCTATTCCTTCCTAAGTGGGAGTTTTAGTAGTTAGCATGAGAAGAGAGGTTGGTTTGGAGATTGTGCCAAATGTGGATTGCTATGAGGCTTTTCTTTTTCTCACTATCTTTCTTTTTTTAATAAAGTTTTATTTGGGTTTTCACACATACAAAATACAAGTAAAACATCTTTTTTGAAAATAGCATGGTCCCGGGTTGAACTTCTTTATACAGACACAAAACTCAATTTCATGCTCCTTTTTGTGTTCTATTCCATATCTTATACTATTCTACATTTTCTATACAGTTTTTCCCCTCTTTTCATTTTCTCAATTTTATTTTGATTATCTCATCTCAATTCAAATCATTATATTTATACTTTTGTCTGTTCTGTTTCAATTTCATATCGCAAGGAGGGAACTTGGGTTTGATGTAGTTGGAGTTTATCAAAAACGAACTCATGGTCATTAATTTGTGAAGTGCAAAAATACTAATTTTTCTCGCGCTGTCGTTTTTCTGGGCTTGACGAGGCCCCTCCCTCCTGCCCCTTCCTTCCTTCCTTCCTTCCCTCCCTGCCTCCTCCTCTCTCCCCTCCCGCCCTGTTGTCACCTTTATATCTTTTAATTATATCCATTCAACTTATTTAAACTTCAATATATACCTTAAGTTTATGACTTTCAATATAATACATAATACATAACTTCCAATCGAATTCTACTTGGTACATTCTTATAATACACACTATATTCTTTAAAAAAAAAGAAAGATTGTAAATATATGTAATTATAAACCCTCATTCCATTCCAGTTCAGTTCTATCATTGATAATCATTAAAATCTTAACATCTTTAACACTTCTTTTCAATTAAATATCATACTTCCTTAAAAACACATATAATCTCCATAATTAATTTTTCCCTTATTTCTCTTCACATATATTTTATAAATCATTAAATATACCTTTTGTTACATTTATTTATTGACAAGCATTCCACTGAATCCACTAGCTATTTTATCATACATTGTTTCATATTTTCTAAAATTATTTCTGTTTCTAATATAACCATACTATCTTATGTACCTTTGCAGAATCCCTTTTTCCATTAAATTTTCACCCATTATCTCTAAATAGGCCCTGTTTCTCTATATTTTGCTTCTGTCCTTTATAACTTCTTTTCCTTTCTTTCTTCCCTCTCATCTTCTCCCTCCCCTTTTTACCCCCTTGTCTCTCTAGTTCTAATTCTTTCTTCTGCATTTCCCTCTTCTGTTGCTTTCTGATTTTATACTTATTTTTCACTCTATTTGGGGGGGGGGGTGTTTTTCCCAATCTTAAACTTTCCATTCTCTTTCCCCCCTTTCCTTCCCCCCCCATCTAAGATTACTTGTTCATTAAAGATGGCTTCTTCTTTGTCGCAATCTTCTTGTTCTGCAGGCATTTCTTGTTGTTTCTCATAATTCCAAATCTCCATTTCTAAAAACTGAAATACAAAGCCAAAAGAACCTCTCCCTTCTTGTGCATCTTCTTTGTACTTTTTAAGTTCCATTTTCAGTTTTTCTAAAAGTGGAGCCATTTTAAACAATTTTAAACAACCACCCGATTGATTTTAGTCATTCAAAACAATAACCAAGAATCCAGAAATCATCAAGTAATCCAGATAGTCCTGAGTTATATCTTCCTATTTCTTTTTCGACTTTCTCTTCCTGGGGTTTTTGTTGCGATATTTCAGTTAGAATGTATCTTTTGGAAGTCTTGTTGAGATTTTGCTGTAAGTTCTTTTTTAATTCCAGGCAGTCTCCTCCCTTCCAGATCCTGCCCTTTTATTCTTTTTCTCTCCTTTCCTGTTTTCAAAAGCTTTTAATTATCCAGAAATCTTTATTATCCCTTTGACTTTTTATTTTCAGCATTAAATGCCTATTGATGTCAAAGTGGATTTTTTTCCAATTTCTTGCTTAAGTCTCTTAGCTGTCAGTATAGGAAAAGGAGAAAACCAAATCTTTTCCCTTTTCTCTCTCCTTCGCAGCTTAAAAATCTTCTTAGGGAACAATGTTATTGTTTTTTAATAGTTTCAATTCCAGGGTACCTTTTTTGTTGCTTTTGCTGTTTGACCCGGCCAACCAAAACGTTCTCTTCTTATCTTCCTCCTGCACATTCTTTTCTGGTCGAGTTCTTCTTTGTGGTGGCCATTTCTGACCACCGTTGCAACTGCCTTCAGGAAAGGGAGTAATGGCCAGCTGGGGAGGAGAGATGCGGCTCTCCTCAACCCTGCAGGCAGTCTCCCCCCTCTTCACCACCTCTATGGGGTGGCTTAGCCCCGAAACCAGCCAGCTCGGGGCGCTCCAGCGGTAAGCACAGATTGAAGCCTCGCAGAGACAAGGTTTCGGTCTGTCGCTGAAGAAGCTCAAACCGGAAGCCTTTTCTCACTATCTTTTGACGTTTACTTAGATCTTCACTTTGGGCCAGGCCACTGATGCAGTGGAACTTTTGATCCCTCATATAGGGGCTGTCGGGGTCTGAAGGAGAAGAAATTAGGAGAAGCTGAATCCAAGCAAGACTAAGTTGCTGTTTATGCAAAAACCCAAATGTGGTGGACTATGTCTGGGGTTGCAGGACAGGGAGGCTCTTTCTCAGAGGACAAAGAGATATT